ACAAAAAAAAAAAAAAAAAAAAAAAAGAATCACATTTTCACATATTTAATTTCCTGAAACCCGTTCTTATTTTTAAGTGTGTTTTCCCATGTTGAGGATCAAACCTATGGCTTTAATCATGCCAGGGGAGCAGCTTACCACTGAGCTACCACCCTCTTTTGTTTTCTTTCTTTTTTGTACCGAGATAGAATTCAGGTCCTTGTGCTTGCGAGGCAGGCCAAGGTGTGGCACCACTGAGCTAAATCCCCGGTCCCACCCTCTCTTCTTTTCTTCGTCCTTTTTCATAGTAGCTTGTTCTTGTTCTGTGAACGCAAAACCCTTTCCTGTTTTGCTGATGATTCATCTTTTTTTTAAGTTCTCTTTCTGAAATTATCTGCTTTTCCTAGAGTCAGCTACTGTTTGCTTGCTCTTAGACTTTTTTTTTAATGACCTCCAACACTGCTGCTTTGGTTGACCACTTTAAGATATGAGTGAAATCCTAGAGTGTTTGGTTTGGTTTCTTTTGCAGATCAGGAGTTGAGGATCTCTCATGGACTTTTGCCTCGGCTGAGAGGCCTGACTTCAGGCCATGTGTGTGACCCAGAGTATCTGCTGTGAGTCTTCACTTTAGAAACCTGGGACTCATCTTCTGAGAACCAAAATGGGAAGGATGCCCGGCAGATTCTGCATTCATTTTGCACATTTTAACTCAGTCCTTTAAGTTTTCACTTTAGCAACCCATTTACTCCACAGGGCCCTCTGTTCTCAGTCAGGAAATCTTATCTTCTTTAAGACAAAAAAAAAATCAAAAACATTTTTTTCCTGACCTCTTAGAAAAAGAGAAGGATCTAGGAATTTAACTGCTAAAACAGAGCCTCAACCAATCCCTCTGTTTCTGGACCAGTGAACACTTCCATTTCAAAGTGTGCCATTCAGAAGCATAGTCCTTACTTTTCCCACTGCCTTTTAAAGTGTTATCTTTTTACAGTCTGTTAGCCAAGTCTCAGCCTCTTTTTCAGCTTTGATTTTTTGATTGGATCGTCTAGTTTCCTTGTGGATGAATGCCCTTAAACCCCTTTTGCTGTCTTCTTGGTTGGATTTTTGCAATGAGCTCAGGTTACTCAGAGATCAATGCATATTCACTCCAGCATCTTCAGTTGGAAGATAAGACAGACTTCCTCTTTTAAATAGTTACAAATATGTTTCAGGAAACACCTCTGCATAACTCCCTTGCTTTTAATACTCTGATAAAGAGGAAAACTTTTGGTCATCTAAATAATCCTGGCATTAAGTTAGTGTAGTTTGCTGGCGATGGGAGTGGATGAAGGAAGTGTGCCTGCAGTTCTCAACATAATTCCTCTATATTGGAATGTGGTCTGTTTTAGCACACATACAGTGTATTCCTTTCTATTGGTTGCCATAACAAATTACCATAGACTTGGTGGCTTTGAACAACAGAAAACATTCTGATTCAGTTCTGGAGGCCAGAAATCTGACATCAATATCACTGGGCCAACATTAAGCTACTGGCAGAGCCATGCTCCCTCCAGGGAATCTGGGAAAGAGACCATTCCTTACCTTGTCTGTCCCCAGTGACCTGTGACTGTGACACCACACCAGTCCCTTCCTCCATGGCCACCTCGCTTTGCCCACTCCCATATACGTTGAATCTCCCTTTGTGTCCTAATAAGGATATTTATGTTTATGTTCGAAGAACCCATGCTTATCCAGGATAATCTACCGATTTCAAGAACCTGAACCTAGTTGCACCTGAAAGGTCTTTGCCATGTAAGGCAACATTTGCAAGTTCTAACAACTTGAAGTTCATACTGGGAGACACGTTGTTTAACCTACTATAGCTTAGACTCTGGCCCCCAATGATTCCTATTCACAAGCAGAATACATTCGCCTCAGCCAAACATCTGACCATTTCAACCTACTGCAGCATTAAATTGATGTCTGAAAGTTTATCTATACATTATTATCAGCTCCTAAGTTCTAAATTTCATTATATATAGCATCTACATCAGGTATGGGTGAGACTGAGGATATGATCCATCCTGGCACAAGATTCGTTTCTTTCTGTGATTGGTAGACTAAAAAACAAGGTGTCTGATTCTAAATACAGTAGTGGAACAGGCATAGACTAACATTTATAGATATCCCCTATTTAAAACAAAGGAGATGAAAAAGAAAAAGGAGGTCCTGGGTTTGGCAATTTAAAAATTTAAAAATCCAGCAGAGGCAGTTTCTTTAGGTTTCAAGACCCTAAATAATCTTCTGTGGCTCAAGGCTCTGACTTCCAGGCCTGCAGCTATTTCCTTCCTATGGCCTTTCCTGGGGAAGATACTGAGATCGAATGACTACTATGTTTTTATTCTTATTTTATGTTGTAAAAATCCATGGATTGTGAGTTAGAATTTATGGACAAGTAGACTAATCAATTT